CTCAGAGGTGGTGGGTCAGCGGGGACATTACAGAGAGCAACTTCCCACTTTCCCCCAGACAGACCATTGCATGGCGAGGGATCCAGCACTCTCCAGTTGGGAACAAGGCAGACCGGGCCTGAGCTGATGGCCTGGGAAGGAGCGCAATCCCATTGGGCATGCTCGGGGCGTAACAAAGCTATTAGCACAGTCGCACGCATCCGACATGGCAGCATCTCCGTGCATTGTGCCCTGGGGCCCGAGGGGGAGGCTGCTGTCAGGCCCCACCGGACCTGGCAGGCGGGCTGCAGAGGAGGTCACGGGGAGCGTGGGAGACTGCTGCGCCCCGCTCAGGGCGCTCCCATCATCGTTAGCATCACAGAAATCATGCACCCTTGTTAGATACGTGGCGCCTGAACACAATCGTTTCCTGTTGGACTCGGTAAATCAAAGCCGGCGGTACAATAATTATTAATAACATGTTGACTCATCTCATCAGCATTAATTAGTCAGTGGAAAGTCAATGTGCAGAGGGATGGAGTGTGGGGTGGGGGGACGACTCTCTGATTTGACAGGTCAAATGCCACGTGGGCCAAGAGGAGGGAAGGGTGAAGGGGGCACGGGGCGCTTTCCTGGAGGGGGCTGGCATCGGATGAAGGGGTCTGCTCGACGCAGGTGAGGCCTTTAATTATGATGCAAAGGGGCAGCGCCACTGTGAATCTCTTGGGAGCACTCTGAAGTCGTCATTAAGAGGAGCTGAGCCTGGAGGGGGGCAGAGCTGCTCCCCGTGACCCTTCCCCACTTTGGACTTGTCATGCAAGTGGAGGGCGATGAGCCACATTTAAATGCTGGCTGGATTGTGACAGGCAACACCCAGGAGTTGCTCATCCAGAGGAACGTCCAGCTGTGCCACACACCCCCTGCCCTCCTCGCGGTTGGAAGAGCTCACAGCTGGAGTGACCTGGCCTGAGGGCAATGACCCCACGGGCAGCTTCTGAGCCTCAGCCCACCACCTGCAGGCAGACGCTCCCAGCAGAAGGAAGGAGGCGGGTGGAGGATGGAGGCAGCTGTCTGCAAGGGGAAGGGGAGTACTGTGCAGTACATTGGGGCCAGGGGTGTCTCGGGACCCGTTGTTTGAGGTGCAGGGCGGCCGAGCGGTTAAGGGGATGTGCAATGGGCTGCAGGCAGGAGCTCAAGTCCTGCTCTGCACTTGAACTGAAGGCTCCCCATACGTAAGGGAGGCACACTTGGACTGGGAGGTCCAAGGTGGTCAGATAGGATGCTAGCCATGTCCCTCTGCTACATGCTGCCAGCTGCCGGGGCTGGTGCAAGTTACCCACGCTAGCCCAACGTGGCAAAGGCTCAGGGGTGGAGGTGGGGGGGCATTTTGACTTTTATCTGGGCAAGGGTACCTTGAGCTTGGGCTATTAGATGGCTGCACCCCCACAGCCACAGGTCTCTCTGGGCTGCAGCAGTTTGAATTCAAACTCAGCCTGAGTTTGAAGATGCAAGGATCCTCTCACACTACAACTTCAATCCTGGCCCCAAGTCTGTTCTGCATGAACCACAGCTCCTGGGCAGGTGAATCAGTCACAGATTCCTGCCAGGGGATGGCATTGCTCTGACCATGGCTCCTGGATCAGCACGTCCTCTCGAGCTCTGCCCGCTGCACAGCTCGGCGCCTCGTTTTCCTCACGCCCCCGCTGCTATAGCCCCCTGCTCATGCCAAGCGGCTGGTGGACGCCCCTTGGCAGGTGTGTTCCTGATGTGCTAGGAAAGCTCAGAGCACAAGTCTTGGACATGGCATCAGTTGGGTACCACATCACCCATCAGGTTCAGCCTCAGGAGGAGGCAAAGCTCCCTGGGACATGGAGAAACATTAGCCGTTTGGTGCTCAGAAGCAGGACAGCCCTGATTCGGGTCTGCCCTTTCTCTATCCATCAGCACCTCCTCCGAGTACATTCGGGATGAACGTGAGCACGACTGCCGCACTGTGAGCTGGACTTGGTGTGTTGGTTGTCTCGGGCACACCCCGATCAGTCCACCTGGGAGACTCTGGAGGAATTTAAGCACTGCCTTGTGTATGGATCACAACTGAGCTTAAACAGGACCAGGTGCGTAGGGATCTTTGCAGTTCAACACACCGGTGCCTAATGAGTTTTGTGGCTACTGGACCAGGGGTTCTCAATCTTTTCTTATGATATAAGTGGTTATTGCAAGTCCCATTTTAGCATAGACTTTGCCAGTCTAGATCTGACCCCTATAAGCCTCACCTGGATAAAGCACCAGGGAACATAGTGGGGAACATGGTGGCAAAGGTGGGCTGGGAAAGATCTGCCATGCTTCATAGTGACATAGTCCAAGGTCTGTCTATTTAGCATCCTTAGGGGAAGGCTAAGGATGACCTGTTCCTATACATGGAGCAAAACTGTGGTAACGGGCACTCTAGTATAGCACACAAAGGCCTAACAAGATCCAGCGGCTGGAAATTGAAGCGGGGTGAATTCAAGCTATAAAACAACAGCAAATATGAATAGTGAGAGTTATTCAAACATCTTGCCACAAGGTAGGGGAGGTTCTCTGTTACTGGCGATTTGCTAGATCAGAACGGGATGTTTTGCTAGTTCAAACAAGAGCTCCCCCCAGGAGGGCCGGTGGCCTGGTGTCTGCAGGGGGCTCAGAGGACATGATCGCAGCGGTCCCTTCTGACCTGAGCATCTGTGAACCTGCTGGGCTTCCAGGACACTCCTCCTTACAGTGTCTGTGTGGTACAATTACTGCTGAGCTAATCGTTTAGTATTTTACAAATCGGATAATGTTTCATAAAATCTCCTTGCCCTTATTAGAAAGAATTCACAGCTCTGATCACTCCTTCTCAAACAGACACAGCGGGGACAGCAAGGCTCCAGCAACAGATCGATGGAAATGATTACAGGCCAGGAAAGATTTCTGTCCGAGAAGGAGCTGAAAAGATTAGGGCCATTTAGTTTGGAGAGGAGACAAAGAGGAGACATGAAAAAACAACATGCGAGCAGAGGCCCTGACACATCCCCATTCCTGGAAGATGTAATCTTTATGCTATAGATTGTGTTGTGTCGTGGGATTGGTTGCTGAAGGCTTGCGGGAGGGTTTCTGCTCCCCAAATGGACAAGGACAAGTCTTACGGTCAGGTTCTGGGCTCCATTTCAAATGACCCTTTTGCAAATGCTTTGCTCCAAGAGTCTTTGTGGAACCAGCCTTGGCTCTGCAAATGCTTGTGGGGGGATGAGGCAGAGGAAGGGCAAAGGTAGGTGGTTCTGGGTAGCTACCCACACCGCTCCGAGGCTGCAGATGACCACCCTGCAGCCCATCCCCCTGCAATGCAAGGCTGGGCTTGCCCTTGTCCCCTACACAAGAGGCCACAACTCGCTCAGTATTTGTTCCATGCTAGGCAGCATTGCAGCTATGCCCGTCTAAGATGAGACTACACCATCCCTCCAAAGGCACGCACCTTGGTGCAACAAGGAGTGAGAAGCTATTCAGCCTGCAAGGGGGTATAATACCCCAGCAAACACCCAGTGTCATTAAGCCTCAAGGCCTCATGATAGCACACAGCTCTCCAAACCCTGTTGCCAGGACTTGAGTCTGATTTTGACCAACACAGCACTGGCTAGCTGGCCAGATGCATCTGTGGTAGCATGGCAGCCTGGAGAGCAAGGACATAGGCTGCAAGCTACTGCTGAGAAACCACCAGCTACAGGAAGCAAAGAGCAGCGAGCAGATAAATTGGTGTCAGTTTGTGTTTCAATCCCATGCCGAGCCTAATAAAAAAGGTGCATCTTGGAGAGGGGCACTGGGCGTATGGGTGGGAAATGGTAAGAGGGTAGCAGGATTTGTGTGAACACGTAGAGTATGTGTGCCAGCATTAGAAGCCGGGGCTGTGAGCATGTGTGTGTTGTGCATTGGGTGTGGGGGGCGGGGGGGTGTCAGATGCATGAGCCAAAAGTAGAGCCAGTGAGTGAGTACAGGTCTATGTGGAAGGGAAAGGACGTGTGTTTGGGCTTGTGCATGCAGGCTTTTGCTCTGCGTGCGAAGGCGTGCACAGGCATGTATTTGTGCTAGGGGTGCAGGCGTGTTTGCACATACATTTGGTGCATTTGCATGTACACACAAAGGCTGCAGGTTACACTGTTCCCAGCTGCGGGAAGAAATGGATGGATAAATGACTGCCGAACTTACAGGGAGGCTATAATCCCTCAAGGTATATCAGAGAGCAGTGCTGTTGGTATGTGGTTACCTTTTAGGACTAACAGTTTTCTGGCAGATACACATCTCTGCAGCTGTATTAGCACAGATAAACAATGGCATCCTGGAGCTGATGAGATCCTGGGAGTAGCTCCAGCCTGCCGGTGCCTGAGCTCTAGCTCATGCTACTTAAATGCTGCCGGTGGACCAGCACCACCTCTCCCAGCAAAGGATTCCTGCTACTGCCCAGTATCCAGTACGTGCGTGTAGGCATGGCCATTCCTTCTGCTGGCTGCTACAGTCCCTCCCGCAGCTAGTGCCCCCCCGGGGTCGCTTCCAACCCTGCCAACAGAGCTGCTCGCTGGAGACGCGGAGCAGCAGAAGTGAGTGTGCTCGGACAGACAGCTTCCCCGTGGCATTTGCCGTCTGTGGCCAGCAGCTGTGGTGACAGAAGCAGCCTAATTCAGACCAGAGCTTAGATGACCGTCAAAGATGACACCAACTTGCAGCTTGGCACAGCACCGCTCAAAGAGGGCTGAGGAGGGATTGCCACCACGCATTACTGCTGCCCAACCCACCTGCAGCCTGCAGGAGACATCCCAGGGAAATGGCATTGTGCTCCAGCAGGAGCAAGCAAACTTTGCCAAGGTCACTTGCAGACTAATTTTGTCAGGAAGCAGACACGGGCATTTCTCCTTTGGGTACACCCAGCTCGCCTGTCATGAGCCAAGGCTGTGTGCACTGTACACCCCAGGATCTGTTCTGTTCACCGTGCTGGGCAAGAGCCTCATACTTACCCCATGCGCAGGGTATGTGAGCCAGCCCCAGTCCCCGGGGATCGTCGATGTATCTAACAAGTTCACTGAAAAATAAAGGAAAAAAAAAAATCACATAAAAAAATTGCTCCCCTTTAACAAACGGTCAGGAAGAAAGCACAGTCCAAGCTACGCTGTGAGGCTTTCTGCAAACAGCGTGCTTACATCCCGCATAAAAGAGCGTGCTCACAACCCTTCCTCCATGCTCTTCAGGACACCTAAACCAGGCTCGTACCTCCACAGTACACCCACCGACACTTTGAGGCTGTGCAAACACCCCCTCGTCTCCCCCAGCAGCACTCACCTGTACCATTAAGCTGCGTGCAAGGTGTGTACACCCACACGTGCAGCAAGGCAGCGTGCTCCTACCCCCAAGTCACACACGCCTCTACCGAT